ACCACCTGTGCTGGTACAGTATTAGAACATGGTAGCTGCTCTTACCTTTGCCTTTGAGGCAGAGATGAGCCTAACATTTACCTAAGGTTCTTTACTCCATTTACCAGTCCTTCACATGGTAATCAGTTCATCCTCCTAGTGCTCCTGTGAGACTCCTAATGCTCTTGCTGAAGTCCTCGCTTTAGAGATGAGGAACCAAGGTTTTCAGGAAACTCATCTTCCCCAAGGTTACACCAAGAATCTGAAGGAAGTCGTGGGGGAAATTGCACATAATACCTTTAACTACCAGAACAGCTTTCTGTTCCTGCATGTAGAAGTACACAGAAGCCAGTATGGCTGCAAAAAATGCATGTGTACCTACATACAATCCACTGATCTCTAGCAGTAGAAATGTAGTTATTTCCATAGCTGTAGGGAGGTGCCCTGACCAAGAACACCCAAAAAAATAACATATTGATGAAATCCTTGATTATACATAACATTGTCCTTTTCAGTGGCAGCTTATTATGCTGTCAAGGCACAGAGCAGGGTTTTTGTTTCCACACTTCTTGCCATGTGTGCAATCAATACAATTGCGTACAATACAATACACAGTACGCTCTACACACTATGTTCCCTCATGACCATCAAAGACTTGAGAAAGAGAAAAAACTGGAAAAAATATCTTAGACTACCAAACACACAATAGGTAACCTGGGAGAAACTAGGTTTTTGCATGTGTTTAGATGATAGCAATGAACTGAGAAACAGTGGGAGCAGACTAGAATAACGTGTAGATGAAGCAAAAAAGAAGATTGGAATATAAAGGAACAGAGGTTAAGAACTGAAGCTGTGAACTTGATTCACATAATATTTACTGAGATTATCCATTCATTTATTACTCCCATTATTAACTGCAGTTATGACTTTGTTATTATAAACATCAATCAGAACCAGGGCTCCATTTTGACAGGTATCTAGGTAGTTATGCAATTAGATCTTGATCAAAACAGCTTACAATTACAGGAAGAAAAGCTCTGCTTCAGGATGTGACATCACAGGGAGGAGCTAGTGATTAACTGTTGCTTTTATACCTGTTTGTTTCAGTTTCTTAACCAGTTAGGAAATCCTTGTTTACAGGCCACATTGCAACTTGGCAACTGTTTATGTATCTACTTCTCTGTCCTTGTGCAGATTCCTATTGTCAAGCATTTATCCTGGGCTGCTTTTAGGGTTTCTCTCCATTAGTGTAAAGGCAGCCTGTCTGAGCATCCGGTGGCATCAGGAGCTTAGCTGAGAAGGCCTGAAAAGACATGAAAGCTCATATTCAAAGGACCATGTCCCAGGATTTTGCTCAGCCATGGAAAAAGTTAGCAACCACACTCATTTTGACCGGGAAGAGATTTCACCTTAAAGCAAACAGACTGCTGCTGCCCCCTCACAGTGGTGATACACTCAGAGATAAAGGTAAGAGGTATGCACAGCATGTTGTATGCACATCTTCAATCATTTCTCTCTGCACACAACAGTTTCCTTTGGAGAACATGGCAATGAATGGGATTTTGTTATTATAATGGTGTTACACAGGATTTAGGTGACATAAGGAAAAACATTAGTAATACCGCCTTCCAGCTTTTAAAATCAATGGGCAGGGTAGTATTGGGAATATTCTACGAAACTTCATCGCAACAGAGCTCAGATTTAACAAGACCAAGATTTAATACTGTAGTTAAAGACAGGCCTAAGACTTGCTGAGAATACTGATTGAGATCAGCCTGTCATATTAAAGAAAAAAAAAAAAAGGAAGTAGCTGTAGGCCATTCTAGGAAAAGCTTTTTGGAGCCTTGGATCTTGCTAATAAAAATTAGGGCAGCCCAATATTTTTGAAGACATTTTTTGTCTCCTAAAGGGAACACTTCTATGAAATAAATGTCTGTAGAAGATGCTACTTTATATTTCATGTGTAGTCCATGAAACAAACAGGTTTCTCTTTCTGTAGAAGATACTTATTTCCTGCCCAGAAGATCAGTGAACCTTGTCACCTAGTAAAGAGCAATGCTAACCCAGATCCACCAGCTGCACAAGGCAGCTCTTGCCCTGCTGACTGCAGTGGCAGCCTTTGGGAACAGTAAGCGCTGGGTGTGCTCTGATAGGATCATGGACAGCAAAGCAGTGATGCTGAAAACAAGATCTGTGCTGAGGAATTTACATAACGTGGATCTGGTTCTTGTTATCATCAACACATGAGGTGAAATGCGCTGGTACCTGGCCAGCAGAAAGAAACTCTCCCATGTTTAAATGATGGAAATGCAGATCCCTGCTTAAAAGTGGCTTCAAAGGGGCTTCAAAGGCTCCTATGAAGAAACAGGCAGGGGGACTTGAGGATGAAAGCTATGCCATCTTCCAGTCATCTTGGCTGGTCGACCAACCCTTGGAAAATAAGGGTTTTGCAACGACCAATCCCTTCCCACAGGCGGGAAGCCTTCTGAAACTCAATCTCCACTATGTCAGCTGACAAGGAAAGTAAGGGAAGACCATGGGAAGTCACTGGATGGCAGAAAAAAATCAAGGCCTTTCAGCAGTGAAGGCAAAACTCAGTTTTACCACTACAAGTGTGAGGCATTGAGGTTGCAGCAAAGGTTTTTCTGACCTGGAAACCATAGAGGCACAAAGACTGTTGTTGTGTACAGTTCATGTAGGTTCAAGAACAGACTGGGGATGTTGCTCCATACTCCTCTCCAGGCACCTGTCTTTGACCGCTCTCAAACATGGGACAGGAGAGACCTTTGGTCTGACCCACCACAGTTGTCTGTGTGTCACTGTGCACTGTAATGGGGTGCAGGAACATGGAGATCCCAAGCACAAGATATGACTCTTCCTTCTGATGCTGTCAATGGCTCAATCACTATTCTGTCAGTGCCTCAAGCTGGCACTGTTGGGTAATCAGTGTTCAGACTATGGGCAACTAAACACTTCTCTCCAAAATCTCCACATGCCATCCTATACAGTTGCAGAGAAATAGCACCATCCAGGCAGTGAATCCAGATTTTGCAGAAATGGTGAATGGTTTTATGAAGGTTTGTGATAGCACAAAGCTTTTCTAAAGCATGAGACTGCTGCAGTCAAGCAGCTGATAATGATAAGTTTTCTGCTCTTTGGAATAAATACAAGGGGGCAGTTGTCTTTGTGTAAGCACTAACCCTAACTAATACACAAAAAAGGCCTTTTGGGGCTGCACTAAAGAGGACAAGCTTTTCTCAATTAGACATTTCTGCTGCCCATGCAAGGCAAAGAGAAAATTGAAGTATCTGGAACTATTTCATTAACAACATCAGTATATAAATCAGTATATATGAACTGGGCCTGATGATTTTCTATGACACTGAGCGTCTGGGTCCAGTGCAAAGTGAACTGGAAGATATCAAACTAAAATCCCTTAGTGGCCTCCAAGTGCCAAGTATTTTGGCCATGGTAATTAAATACAAACACTTCTTTTGACTCAGGAGCCAGGTCTCTGAGCCACAGACCTCATGAACTACAGATCTCTTGGGAGAGTGGGGCAGGGAAAAGCATGCTTCGGCGTTTGTCTTGCCCAAAAGCTTTTATTGAAGGCCAGTTCTGAGGGCGTACTGTTGATCATAGTGAAACTCTGGACTGGTCTGGCATCACTATTCTTGCCATTTCTGACAGGGAAAATTTAGCCAAATTCAAACATGCCCAGAAATTGCAACTGTCTTGGGAATGATGTGTACTACTCAGATTATAGTTGTCTTATAACCTAAATAACATAGGAGCAAATTCTCCTTACTCGTGAGTAAGCCTTATTCCTATGAGATTTCAACACACATTAGTAGTCTAATTCTTGTTATGATGTTCACACCATGTATAAATATAACCTTTCGTCTGACACAAAGGGTAAGGGTCAGGAAATCGTGATTATAGGTGATTGCCACAGCCATCCTATAATAAAATAACAAGTCCTATATTATATGACATGTGCAAGACCTAAGGAGGCATGGACACGGTGGGTTGTCAGTAGCAGCCCCTCTGCACAAACACAACATTTTAGCTGTGCAGTGCCACAGCTGAAGAAGAGCAATGACAGGCAGGCTTCCAAAAACCACAGCTTGGTCTAATCAAGCTCTGACCCCAACAAAGCACTGGTGGCTTTTTCCAGTTTCTGAAAAATTATTTCTGTGTCATCTTTCAAATCTGTATCCTCACCTCTGACTTACTTCAATTGCACAGAAATGGGAGTAGGAAATACAATATTTTCCTAAAATATACTTTGAGACAAATATATTTCAAATATTTACAAATAGGTAAATACATTAATTGTGTAACTAATACATTCCCACAAAAAGTATCATTAAAAAAAAACAACTTTAGAGCAAAGTCTAATCATGAGAAAGCAAATATCTACAGAAATACAGACATGTAGGCCTAAGTAGTTATCTTTACTTTCTTAGATTATTCTATGTACTACATTCAAGTGACTCTATTCATGTGCCAAGAAATGCATAGTTTAGGATTTAAAGCAAAAAGAAATTCAGAAGTGTCTGTACGTATTGTTGCTGTCTGTAAAAAAACAGGCAGGTATAGAAGATGATACCAAAGCTCCCATGTTACCCCACAGGCTCTGGCAGCCCCTCAACATCAGTGCTGGCGTTTTTGTCAAGAAACAAAGGTGCAGCCTGTATCTCAGTGCATCAAAAACTGCAGTTGAGAATTAACAGCTGAATTTATTTAGCAAAACTGGCTCTAAAGCTTGTTAGCAGCTAAGACACTTTACAGTACACCACAATAGATCTTTGATATTGCTGCTAATAATAACACTCTATAAACTGAAAGACACTATTTATACAAAACTGTATTCTAAGAATAGTTCAAATTCAAATATGTATCAATATTTGAAACCATGGCAGCACTTCATACACAGATACAAGTTACAGTGCTTGCTTATATTCTCTGCTTTCAGAACTGAACTACTGAGAAACACAAGGAAGGGCTGTGATACTCACACAGGTCTACCTTTCTCAGATTTCTCATTCTAATGATTTTCACTGAGAGTGAGCAGCATGGGCATTCTTCACTCTGCAGAAAAATAACAAAGTTATTACCTGCACTAATATTAAATCTTTTATGTCCCATAAAACATTCCCTCCCACTGTGTGTTGCAGTTTTTGAAGCCGTGCTTCAAAATTAGAAGATGAACTTGCCTTGCTTTGGAAGTTAAACCATGTCTACATAGAGTTAAAAAAAATAAAGAGGCAGAAAAAAAGGAGATATTCCTCTGCTTATATAGGTCATTAATAGAAGAAATAACAGTAATAGATAATAGATAATGTAGTAAATAAAATGAATGCTGAAACTATATGACAGGACCTTTTAATATAAAACAAATCTTTATCAACAATTAAGCAAGAAATATAAGCTAGCAAAAAGTGAGTGTGCATGAGAAGCACCTCTGTTAAACATCTGTAGACAAAGATAAAATAAGTTTAATTATCTTGAACTGTTGAAATTTCACATGGAAGCAGATATTTTCTTCAAATAATTTTATTTAGTAGAAAATTCCAACTTTCCATTTAAAATCTATATCAGGAACTTTTCCCAGAAATAGTAAAGAGCAAATACATGAGAAGTATTGAGGTGTTCACCTAGTGTGGTCAGGAAGAGAAGAATGAGAGCATATAAAGACCTGCTAGGAAACAGAAGCAATCCATAGTAAAATGTATAATCACAACGCTGTATGTTTCAGTATCTTAGCATTGTTCAACAGCATCATGCCCCAAGAGGAAAATTAAACTGTTCAGCGAGTGAGGCACCACCAGCACAAATGCAACCTAACCTACATGAAAGAAAACAGCTTAGGAAGAGATGTTAATGAAACTTTTCTACCCAAACCAGATGTTGGACGTTTGCAAAAAGGATCATTAGCTAAAATGTCACGCACAAGAGGAAAGAAATAACTAGACACAACACAAACAAATTATTAATTCTTGCACGTTTTAGTACCTGAAACTTTAGCCATTGCTTCACTGGAAGTCATTACCTAATGCCTCTCTCACTCCCTGCTAGCAAAATGACTCAATTAAATCTCTTTAAGGGGATTATGTCACTCCTCTGCTTTTTCCAGTTAGGAATTGATCCAGTTGGATATAAGTTCCCCTGCCACTCTTGAACTGTGATAAGCTGGCCTTGGTCTGTATTTTATGTCTCTTTCCAAAACAGAAGGGTAAGTTTTAATGTCTTCTGTCTGAATTCAGGTTCTGGATGGAATCCTCTGCTTTTGCTTTTTCTCATGATGCTGCTTCCATGGTTAAGAGCAAGTGGAAGAGCTGGGAGGACAGTCCCATTCCTTGCTTTGTACGTGTACTTTCCATACAAAGGCCATTGCCAAAGTGTTCATTACTCTCCCCTCCTTTCAAAAGGATGAACCTATAGATCCTTAGTGTTTCTTTAACTAGTTTGGTTAAGCATTCACACTTTCTATTTCTTAAGCCATGGGGATCCCACATCTGAGGTCTCCAAGCATCAGTGCACACTGAAGCTAACACACACTGAAGCTAACACACACCTGTGTTATAGAGAGACGCTCTATAATCTCCGGTTTACAACATGGGAAGCAGGGCACAGAATGATTAAATAACTTGCTCACAGTCAAACAGCAGACTAATTTCAAAGCTGAGAAGAGGACAGATTATGCTGACTCCCTGGAGCCCAACAGGCAGATTTAGGGCTTTCCCTCCTGGTTATATTCCACACAAAAGAAATAATAAAAACCAATATTCAGAGAGATTATGGACAAAGGCAGATCAAGATTTTCTTGGGTGTCAGTCATGCACAGATAGCAAACTAGGACCATCTTTGTGTCCATGATTAGACACTGGTTTTAGTCAGTGACGTTCCTGTATACACCACTATGAAGCGGCTGCTAGTACAGCTACCTGAGCACAGCATATGACTGTACTCATAGCTAGGAGATGTTGTGTTATGGAATAGCCCAACTTGCATAATGCTTGCATCAAACCACAGATTCAGCTCAAATCCATAGCAAGCTGCTGTGAAGCACCTCAGACTGCTTCCCAGCCTTCATGAGAATAACCCACTGTGTCTGAGCTTCCCTCCACAACCAAAAGTATCTCCACAGGGCAGCCAATCCCAACAAAGCTATAAGTCATTCTGACATAAATAAGTAAATACATACATGAATTTGGACTAACAGCTCCCAAGGCCCCTTGTAGGCACCACAATCCCAATTACAAATCCATGTCAGAGATCCTCAGCTTCTAATGGATTATGGTCTGAATTTATGCGCTCTTACCTCACGAGCACTCCAGTATGAGCCCATTTTCTCCCAGCTGCATACAAGTTGGATATAGATGACACTTCAGTGTTAGAGGCAACAGCTGGAAGTGACTCATGAGATACCTCTGCAGACTTTAAGGAGGCACCTATGAGGAGCAAGTGCCTTAGACATGCCCCACCTTCCTTGTTGCCTGAAAGGGAAAGTACAAAGAGAGAAAGGGAGGGCATTTGCTGGGTTTATTTGATAAAGGTGTGTGTTAAGGGAAGGTCGTACACACCAGGGTGCCAAGAGTTATTAGCAATTCAAGATAAGGGAGTGATAATGCACAGCACTTATGCATGTATACCTATGACATAGCAGCCTAAGCAATTCACAAATCAGAAAAGATATTAGCAGCAATGTGTAGGCTGGAGGAAAACAGCTCTACAGCACCCCAATCAACAACGAAAAGTTCTGTGGACAAAATAACTTTAAAAGACCTTATATTTTAGCAAAAAAGTGTTTATTTTGCTCTTCTTTGAGGTAGATGGGGTTTAGTTGCTTGCTGGTGGACGTTCCCCCAAATTCATTCATATATTTTCAGGTGGATATAAGTTTTCTTGCTTTCCACAACACAAAACTTCTAAGTTAGCCAAAACAAAACGAACAGTTTCTCCTCCAAATTAGGGCATATATTGATTCATCTTAAATGCTAACAGTTAGATATTTTAAACACAATGCAGTATCATCAAACTATTACATGCAAATGACACCAAATTCTCCATTTTCTGAGATAAAATTGTGCAGCAGCAGATACTCAGGTGAATGACCACTTGAGAGCTGCAGGCGATACTATGCACTCACAATACCCAAAGTCTGTCTTCCCTTTCTACAAACACACATCAGGAAAACACAAATTCAATTCTGACATTCACTGAATGAAAATTACTTTAATCATCAACCATTTTAAGATGAGGTATCTACCCTTCTGATTAAAGATATGCGAAATGACACAAGATAACATCCCCGTTAACCCTGAGTTCAGCAAAAAAAGACCTTCAATCGGAGAAGCAGCCAATTTACCCAAAAACTTAGCTATTTATCCCAAAACTGACCTGAAAGTGGCTAACCGTTGGCAGTTTTGTTAGATTCTACAGAAGCTGAACTGATGTTTTTGTGTTGTTTCCCTGGGAAACGGCCTGAGGATGAAGAGCTATGGTAGTGCCAACACTATGGAAGCATTCAACACTGTCCTGCATGACATCCTTGTCTCTAAATTGGAAAGACATCAACTTTATGGATGGACCACTCAGTGAATAAAGAACTGGCTGGATGGCCGCACACAAAGAATTGTGGTCAATGGCTCAATGTCCAGCTGGAGATGAGTAACGAGTGGTGTCCCTCAGGGATCGGTGTTGGGACCGGTCTTGTTTAACATCTTCGTCGCTGACATGGACAGTGGGATTGAGTGCACCCTCAGCAAGTTTGCCGATGACACCAAGCTGTGTGGTTCAGTTGATCCGCTGGAGGGAAGGAATGCCATCCAGAGGGACCTTGGCATATTTGTGAGGTGGGCTGATGCCAACCTCAGGAAGTTTAACCATGACAAGTGCAAGGTCCTGCACCTGGGTCGGAGCAATCCCAGACACAGCTACAGGCTGGGCAGAGAAGAGATTCAGAGCAGCCCTGCGGAGATGGACTTGGGGGTGCTGGTCGATGAGAAAATGAACATGAGCCGGCTTCAATGTGCACTCGCAGCCCAGAAAGCCAACCGTGTCCTGGGCTGCATCAAAAGGAGCGTGACCAGCAGGTAAAAGGAGGTGATCCTGCCCCTCTAATCTGCTCTTGTGAGACCTCACCTGGAGCATTGTGTGCAGTTCTGGTGTCCTCAACATAAAAAGGACATGGAGCTGTTGGAACAAGTCCAGAGGAGGCCACGAGGATGATCAGCGGACTGGAGCACCTCCCATATGAAGACAGGCTGAGAAAGTTGGGGCTGTTCATCCTGGAGAAGAGAAGGCTGCGTGGAGACCTCATAGCAGCCTTCCAGTATCTGAAGGGGACCTATAGGGATGCTGGGGAGGGACTCTTCATTAGGGACTGTAGTGATAGGACAAGGGGTAACGGGTTCAAACTTAAACAGGGGAAGTTTAGGTTGGATATAAGGAAGAAGTTCTTTCCTGTAAGGGTTGTTTGACCTTGGCTGGATGCCAGTTGCTCGCCAAAGACCCTCTTATCATTCCATCTCCTCACCTGGACAGCAGAAAGTAAACACGGTGAAAGGCTCATGAGTTGAGATAAGGACAGGGAGAGATCATTCACCAGTTACTGTCACAGGCAAAACAGACCTGACTTGGGGAAATCAGTTTAATATATTACCAGAGCATGGTAATGAGAAATAAAAACAAAATCTTAAAAACACCTTCTCCCCACCATCCCCTCTTCTTTCCAGTCTTAACTTTACTCCTGAATTCTGTATGTCCTCCCCGCTAGCAGCACAGATGTATCGGGAATGGGGGCTATGGTCAGATCATCACATATTTCTGCTGCTCCTTCCTCCTCAGGGAAGGACTCCTCACACTCTTCCCCTGCTCCAGCAAGGGGTCCTCCTATGTGAGACAGTCCTCCGTGAACTTCTCCTGCATGGGTCCTTTCCACAGGCTGCAGTTCTTCACAAACTGCTCCAGCATAGGTCCCTTCCATGGGGTGCATCTTTCAGGAGCAGACTGCTCCGGTGTGGGTCCCTTCCATGGGTGCAGCTCTTCAGGAGCGTACTGCTCCAGTGTGGGATACTTTCTCCATGGGCCACAGGTCCTGACAGAAGCCTGCTCCAGTGTGAGCTTCCCATGGGGTCACAGTCGCCTTCAGAAATCCCCCCAACTAATTCTTGAATAACTCAATGAAAGAAAAAGGGAGGACCAATCTCTAGGCATCTATCACCTCTCCTTCCCAAGGGGTAAATTCTGCAGGAGTTTCCTCCACAGTAAGTGCTGCAGGGAATGGAGCTGCAGGGAACTCATTCAACACTGGCCGCTGGGTTCAGCAGTAGCAGTAATTTTTCTCCTTCTTAGTAGCTGGTGCAGTGCCTTGACACACTGGCTGTCAAGTGCCTCTCCCACAAGGGAACCTAGCAATAGTCCTAGGACAGGGACCTGGGACATGACATCTAGTGTGAATGTATAACAAACGGAGAACCCAGTAATCCAAAGCACCGTGCCAGTATCTGAGAAACTACTATTTCTGGTTTGGTTCAGATTATCTGAGATTTTAGGGTGCATCATAAATTCTGACAAGCGCCATAGAGAAGGCAGAGCATGCTGCAGGAGGGTTCTTTGGAGAACAATTTCCCTTCTCTCAGGAATATGTGTTTTCTGACCAGTCTGAGGCTGGTAAAATCAGGAAGGAGCAGATGCTCACCCTTTACTATCAAAAGGTCCATAGGTAAAGTCAAGCAGGGCATCTAATGCTGACAAAATATTCCTAAATCCAACAACTGAAAAGTGAAACTGAATCAGAGTACTTCAGGGAGCCCACAGACTTTGCAAAGCGAAGCAATACTCAGATCTTAACAGTAACAGGATGACTCTGACAAATACACTCTCCCTGAAAGTGACACTCTCCCTGACAGGATTCAATCATGATCTCCATTCTGACAGTTCAAATACCTTATTTTGAGCTCATCAGTGGCTGCTCAAGTAGAACAGTGGCCAGCATTTTAGATTAGGTTGAAATTGTCTGTGTACCTTGTTGGGAAATCTGTGGAGAGAAAAGACTCTTCTATACCTCTTACCTTGTAGGCCAGGTTACACAAGGAGGTGAGGGATTCCTGTTAAGTTCCACGCTGCCAGCCTCTGACAAACTTCCAGTTGTCAGCACGTGTCTTTTTTTACAATGCTTCTGTGGGATTGTGACCAAAAAAGAGCAAAACCCAACTTCTTAACCAGCTCCAGTCCTAGAAAAAACCGCTATCTTTCCTTAGTAACTCGACTCTGAGGAAACCCTCACTAGAAACAGAAACTGTGTGTTTCTCTCTGCTGAATCTTTTTTGGCTTTTATTATGTGTGAGTAGATTCCCTTCTCCATGAAGCATCTGGGATTTTTCTTTTTGTCTTTTTTTTTTTTTTTTTAATCCAAACAGTTAATATCTTTTCATAACATCTGGCAAACAGTCCAAAGGGATAAAGGGTTTACTTATTAGATGTCTCATTAGCTGAAGAGGAATAAATGCAAGATATCTATTCTGCTATATATTCACATTCAGGTACACAATGACGCTTCAACACCTGTGTTTTGCTGTACATGATTCTTCCTTCGCGGGAATGACACACAACTGTTTCCTGCTTTTCAAACCATTCTCCTGTACAGCTTGAAGAAGGGTGCTGTTTTTTTGTTAATACATTGCTCATCAGGTCCTTTACCAGATGCGTGCATGCATTATTTAGTGCATTCCCATGATAGGCATATTTTCTTCTGTTCTTTGGCAACTGCACTGATTTTTGAGAGCTTTTTGAGTTATGTGCTTATAAATCAGCTTTTCCCCTTCATCTACTGCAATTCAATGTACTTGTCAAGTAAGTAGTTAGACTGTAGCAATCACATCATTTTAATTTGTACTAACATACCTAGCAACTGTATTTTACATTTTATGATTGTTTAATATTGAGAGAATATTGGTGTCTTCTTACTCTATTTATCCAGTGTGATTCTGTGTGTGCATTTATCATATATCCTGCAATCCCCCTCACATGCTATCTGCGTCAGTAATATTTCAATTCGCTACACTGAACAAGCTCCAGATGACACTGAATCACAATTGCATTTAGGGGAGACAACTGTCTCACATGCACATGCATGTGATCTGAGACACACAGCTGATCGTGAGAGGAAATGGAAATGGTCCTTCAAAATAAATTCATAAGTTTGATTTAATTGATAAGAAGAGATGTCATCAAAGACCTAAATAGCCATCATCCATACATCCATTATGCAATACAACTTTGAAAAATCAAATATCCTTCATAAGATATATATATATATATTTCACCACAGTTCCTGACAAAAAA